AACTTTGAATCTTAAAATTTGGTACGAAGTTACGTCTTATAGTAGAGATAATGGAAAAATTTCACAAACCGTAAATTTTTAGTTACATCATATAATATTTTTTTTTAATAATTATTAAAATATTAGCCTACAGGTTTGTACGGAACCCTCGGTACGCGAGTCCGACTCGCACTTGGCCGGTTTTTTTCTTAATAAAAAATAAGTTGTAGGTACCCTTATTAATTTGGTAGTATCCCACGAGCAATAGCAGTAGCATTTTTCATGAACTTGTTGTACACGGGTCATTGTTTCCGATTTAACCGATTTAGGAGCTGATATCCTGTCCCTTAAGCGCCATGGAGGCTGGAAGTCCAATGCGGTTGTAGAGGGATACATTAGAGGATTCTCTCCAAAATATGTCTAAAATATGTAAAGGCATCGTAGGAGCCATTACTCTGAATGAGCCTCAGCCAGATCCTTGGACTGACCTTTCTACATCAAAATTGAGCCGTTACAACACAACTAACCATTGCCTTCTTTCGACAACATTTACGCCAAAGGAATCCGATGAATATGGTACAACTATTAAGTATGACAAATATTTTACCAAAAAACAGTACAAAATTCACTAACAAATTTGTGCAATGGCAATCGATAGGCAAAAAAAATATTTTTAAAACTTCTGACATGTTATAATTTTGAATTTATAATTGATACTGCGACATATAAACGCAATGACACGCGATCTTACATTGATAATATTTTGACCAATAGGTATGCACAATACCAAAATAATGACTGAGATAGATCACAATGGACTTGCGGATGGGTTTATACTGTACCTTAAATGTGGACAATAAGGGGAATTACAAATAAGAACAAGAGTATTATAAGATTATGCGTAGAGTTTTATTTGAGCAAAATACGAGAGAGTTTGAAAAACAGATCTTTGCAAACGATTGGAAAAACCTAGGAATAAATACATTTCACAAACAATTTGATAACTCGTTTAAAACTAGTTATAAAAAAGGACAAGAAAAATAAAATCATCTGTACATATAATAAAATGGTAGAAGTCAAAACTGTACATTTAATATTTTTTTAAAAGAATACTTGGGATGTGATCTGCAATCGATACCGAAGCCAAAAATATAGTTTTTAGAATTTTGTCTGTATGTATGTTCGGGATAAACTCAAAAAGTACTGCATTGATTAACTTCTTTGGCACGAATATTTTTAAGAAGTCGGGTCAACATATAGGCTACATATTATCACGCTATTGCTACGCGCTACCTACGGGGAACGAGCAGTGAACCTTTATTTCTTCAACGCATTATGTAACAACGTGTAATCTAACGACGCCTATTTGAATGTTGTTATTATGTTAACCATGCTATAAGCTAGCTTCACACTTTAAGTAACTTGGCCGATAAACATAATAGATAATTTTAAAGCAGCGCCATCTATGAGAAAATGATCAGGCTGCAGCAATTAACGAAATGACTTAATTCAGCAGAATCACCATAAAGTCATTTATTCAAAGCAGGCTGAAAATCAGCACTATTTGAAGGTCAATTTTACAATGGACAGTCTTACTGCTCTGTAACAGAGTTACTGCACTTTCAGTAGATATATAATGTAAAGAAGAAACAGGTAAATTAATGTTATTTTAAAAGGTATAATCGTAGGTATTTTTGGTGATATATAGCGTTCACCAACCTTTGATCTTTAATAACTCAGAAAGTATTGATTTATTCTAAAAACTTTATATAACAAATTCTCTGAAAAATAATCGATAATAAAAGAATCTGTCTCACTATCGATTTCTGAAGTTGTTTTTATTAAAATAATTTTCACCCCCGAGAAGGGTTGGCATCTACCCCCAGGGCAAAAGCGCAAGTTGGCAATATGTCACTTTGTTTCTTAAGGTACCCCCCTACTCACCAATTTTCATGAAAATCGATGGTGAAAACCTTCGAAATCGGAGGTGAAAACCTTCATTGACTGGACTACACATAATTTGTTTAAGTACAAAATACTTCAGCAATATGTCTAATTGCGAACTTATTCAGATTTGTTTTGTTAAATAAGACATTCAAAAATATTTTAATTGAAAACGCGTAAAATAAGTAGAGAAAGAACAGGTATGAAAATAAATAACTTTAAAATTTTGCTGGCCCAAGGCCGCATGGATACGCACAAAATTTTGGTGTTGTTGGGTCAAGGTCACTAACCACCATATGAGGTTTAACTGCTACCTTTTGCTAACCTACCAAAAAAAAAAGCTTTTCTCCCATACATTTTTTTCGTAAATATTTTTTTGAAGTATGAAGGAGTCATTTTCTTGAAAAATAGTATCAAAAAAACAATATTAATCAGCATTTAATTTATTATTAATTACAATTTTTTAATAGCTGAAATTTACAACTTTGATCTTAAGTCCACTATTTTAAAAATCCGGACCACTGCGTCGCAGCGAAATACAGGTCACTGGTTAATCACGAAATCTCAGAAACTATAACACCTACAAACTTAAGATTAGGCAGGTAGGTTCCTTCTAGGGTGTAGATATCCGCTAAGCACGAATTTCACGAAAATCCACCCCTAAGGGGGTCGGAAGTGTGTATGAAAGTCCTATGTTTTTGAAGTAAGAGGCTTGAAATTTAACATGTATGCTCTATAGATGGTGAAGAGGTGTACTAATAATGTATCTTTAGAAATAAACCCCCTTTTGGGGTCAAAAAGTATGTGCAAATCGAGCCCTTACCGCCAAATTATCGTAAGCGACACTCGCCAAATTATCGTAAGCTACACTTTTGTCGAAATGCATTTTTTGTGGAAACTAATATTTTAAACCGTAACGGACCCATCTCTGTTGATATTTCCCTCCACAAGAACACCGTTATAATATAATAGAGGGAAGAATAGAGGGAAATATCAACAGAGATGGGTCCGTCCGTTACGGTTTAAAATATTAGTTTCCACAAAAAATGCATTTCGACAAAAGTGTCGCTTACGATAATTTGGCGAGTGTCGCTTACGATAATTTGGCGGTAAGGGCTCGAAATAACTAACTCCACGCGTACGAAGTCGCGGGCGGCCGCTAGTATAAAAATAATAGACTACAATGGCTGGCACAGGGAATTAGAGTATCTAGTAAGATGAAACGATTTTTGACACTCTATATTAAAATATGCCACGGACAGTATGCAAACTAGTGCGAAGTTTTTAGCACCTTTCTATAGATATGTAAATATGCCCTATTTACAGATCTATAGAAAGGTGCTAAAAACAGCCAGGAAAATTACTGTACAGAAATAAATCATGATGGCATCCAACTCTAATAAAGAAATTTGCAAAATTGTTAATAGAAGTAAATAAAATATGTAATGTTAGTAAATGTCAAGCTAAAACCAAAGATGAAATATTAATGAAAGTAAATGGTAAAATATTAAGCAATCAAAAAAAGGTAGCAAATCTTTTCTCAAGCTGTTTCGATGCAATAGACTTATCAAATGGAGACAATCCAAAGAATGGATCCGTCAAATATTAAATGAATATTTAAAAATGTTTAAGAAAAGGACATCGACGAAATCGGCCCTAGCATGCCCAAAAGAATGTCCTTCACTATTATTTTTCTATTATTTTTTTAACTTATTAGCAATTAATCATAGTGAACGGACAAAGTGTTTAAAAAAATAAAAAATAAAGTTCTGTTACTAGATACTACAGTCTGTTCATCCAACTTGGCACTCCTTTTTATTAAAATACAGCATTAAAAATCAACTGATAACTGGATTCAGTCTTTAATAACGTTTTATTTTAATAGTTTATTGGCTTCGTGAATATTTTATTATTAAATGGGTGATTCTGTTAAAAAGTTGTGCCAAAATTGTTTACAGGCGACCATAGGTATTTATCAACATAAAAATAGAACTAGGTACCTTAGTTAACAATACTTATTACTAGTATTTATATTATATTTATAAAAAGATTATTTCTGAAATTATGTAAAGATAGTTTATACCCCCATGTAATATATGTTTATTTTTATAAAAATCATAATGATAACCAGGTACATACCTAATTACCAATAGTAAAATATAGAAACAGGTAAATGGAAAGCCTTTGAACATTTCATTTGAAAAGAAATCTATTATTACTACAGGTACCTAGGTATAGGTATCATAGGTGCCAACTGACAACGCTCATAAATCAATATGAATATAAGCATTTATTAGTTTTATTATTAATTGCATTTTATGTTCATTTAATGCATATTATTTAAGTGCTTACATAGAGGTAAACACTAAATCTATTCAGAATATATAAAATGTACATCTTTTACGATTAAGTATAATAATTATAACCTCAAAATCTAATACATTCTGTAGTAGGCCGCGGTTCCTCAAGTTGTCCGTATCTCAACAAATGCCTAATTAGAGTTTATAACTGATTCCGAACAAAACTAGCATTTTCTCATTGCTGGGCGTTCTAGGGCATTCAATGTATGGGGAACGAGCAATGTCCTTTATGAAAATTAACCTGTCCCCTCCAACTTATCTCCGAAACTACTGCGTCTAAATTTTGAAAATAACATATAAAGTTTATAGTATGTCTGGTTATAGTTCCTTTTACGTCCAATAGGAACTGCCACTCTCTAAGTAAGAAGGTTCGTTAAGTCTATATATTCTATCTATATAATTTTACTTTGAAGCTTAAACTCTTCCTCCGATATAATTATTCGCTCGATTATAATATAGTGTCTAATGTTGTGGTGCGATTCCGAAAAAAAATCAAAATCAATGTTTTAACTCTCAGAGGAATAGTTTGCAAAAATATTTTACACATATTTTTCGAAGGAATCAACCAGAAGTCTGTTTTAATTACTATTTTTAAATAAATATTTAAAAAATGGATCATTAATATTGGGCTTACTTAAATACTAAATTACGTATGAAATTTCATCCCCCATTCTACTCTTTTGGTGTTTATTTTAATTGATTTTGTTGAATTTACAGACTGAAGTGGACATAATAGAGGAGATAGATGAATACCAGACTTGGCCTGGCTGGTTGATACTGACTCTCCGAGTTGTCATTATGACGTGGTTTGTGGTGGAGCTTCGCAACACTATGATCTATGAACATAATATGCCGAAGCTCAATTTCCTTCTACACTTTGGTGCATCCAGCCTCGTGTGGTTTGTTTACCTGCCGGTCATTGCGTTAATAGCTTTACAAATCAGTCCCCTGTGGAGGTTCAAGTTTTTGTTAGGTGAGTGGTAAAAAAGGCAAGTAGTTCTATGTTATGTCATTTTTTTAAATCCATACAATCAACGAATTATAAATGAAATGGAAGCGGTACTCTCTAACAAAGTTCGCTAAAACATGGTTTCAAACTCGTTCATCAACTAAATTTCAATACTAACCCACACAGACAAAATTAAATAATTTGTCGAATCAAATATCTGCAAAGGAATTGGGCTATCCATTCATTGGAAATGATATTCTAAAACGAAAATCCCAGCCAATCCCATGATCAGCGTGTTGATCTATTTTTATCGCCCTGTAAGCTTGATCGCAGCTTGCGTGGAACCACTTTTTGGCGCAGTTTGTATTCCATATCATTTCTAATTCGTTGCATTCAATACATTTAAATCTGACAGCAATCTTTGTTCAACAAATAACCTTAAATAAGCCAACAATGTAATAATATTGCAGTCGAGAAAAGTTATTTGGTGAGCAAGATTTCCCAGTACGGCATAAAACACGTCCTATCATCATCTATGGATTCCACTAATAGTATCCACAATTAAATCTGCAGATTTTTATATTACCGCCTGTTGAAGATGTTTGAATGAGTCTTCCAGATTTTACTTCGTTTTTCAGGCATAACGTATTCAGCCGATTGCCTAGCGTTCTGCGTAATGGCACATTTGCTTTGGCCGACGCGCTCGGAGCAGTATCTGCTGCTGGCTCCTTCTGATTACACAGGTAAATATTTCTTGACGCTTATAGTAGGTAATAAATGTATTTTTTAAAGAAAATAATACTTATGATTTTATTTATTTTTTAAGCATTTAACTGTGTAGGTAACCCACAACAATGCGAAGAGATGGCGCTGCCTTGCAGCTTAAGGCTAGGAAAATTTCGACGCGGCTAAAAGGGCCGTGGTAGCATAATGGTCAGTGCATTCGCCCGGATAGCGAAGGATGCGGGTTCGAGTCCCGTCCGCTGCCTGGTCCGCGTGGATTTTTTTTCTAGTAAACATTTCTTTAGATTTAAACATCTAGCAGTTAAATGCTTAAAAAATAAATAAAATCATAACTATAATTGCTATTTCTTCTTTCAAATGTTTAATACTTGAAAAAGTATTCATTTGACATTGTGGGTTACCTACAATGCGAAGAGATGGCGCTGCCTTGCAGCTTAAGGCTAGGAAAATTTCGACGCGGCTAAAAGGGCCGTGGTAGCATAATGGTCAGTGCATTCGCCCGGATAGCGAAGGATGCGGGTTCGAGTCGCGTCCGCTGCCTGGTCCGCGTGGATTTTATTTTCTAGTAAACTTTTCTTTAGATTTAAACATCTAGCAGTTAAATGCTTAAAAAATAAATAAAATCATAACTATAATTGCTATTTCTTCTATCAAATGTTTAATACTTGAAAAAGTATTCATTTGACATTGTGGGTTACCTACAATGCGAAGAGATGGCGCTGCCTTGCAGCTTAAGGCTAGGAAAATTTCGACGCGGCTAAAAGGGCCGTGGTAGCATAATGGTCAGTGCATTCGCCCGGATAGCGAAGGATGCGGGTTCGAGTCCCGTCCGCTGCCTGGTCCGCGTGGATTTTTTTTTCTAGTAAACTTTTCTTTAAAATAATACTTTTATAATTTATCGAGAAAGTTTGTTACAAATATTAATTTATTACCTAATTATTTTTTAAACAATAAACTACTATGTTTAAATAAATATTAATAAGAAAAATTAAATAAAGTAGTTTATTGTTTAAAATATGAGGTATAATGCAATGCGCATAGGGGAGAAGGAGGTAAGACGGGGTAGCGGGTAAGATGGGGTTCGTCGTGCCGCCATGATACTTGTCAGTCGCCCGGTGCTTAGTGGTTCAAAAGTGTACAGTAAATGTGGGATTTGGCCCTATAATCCAAACGTGTTTTTCGAAACAGATTTTGCCCCTTCTTTGACAAACCGAGATACAGTTAAATGACGGTCAAACTTCCACAAACAAAGTATTTCAAGATATAAGCAATGGCACTATTGCCCAAACTTCAGACACATTAGCTGCACAAATAGCTGATAATGCTGCGACTTTTAGCAGAGACGTTGTTCATGACTCTGCCTGGGTGTTCCCACTGTAGTCTCAGGCTAGTAAATCAGGAACAGCACCGTATCAGACCAACCGGAGACATCACAAGCAGCTAATGTGCCCACATGCGATTAAAGCGACAGTATCTTTGTTTAGACTTCTCCATAACAACTATCCACTTCTGCTGACTAAAAAATCTTCTCGTGTTGCTAAAAAGCGTAGAAAAACAGCAATTATCACGTCTTGGCATCACCCAAAAAGAAAAAAGATTCTGAATAGAAAAAACTCATCATCTGGAGATGAGAAGAAGAGGAGGACACACCATTTATGTATTGTTAGGAAGTATATTCCGTTTCCATAGAAGGGAGGCTATCATGCACATTATGTGGAAGATGCGCTCATAATAGCTGCGCAGAAATAGATGATGATGAGTCTGCTAGTTCTGCCAGCTCAATAATATATTTTATTTATTAATGGATAATTCTTTTTATTCTGCTTGCGGATCAGACATTTCTTCTTCAAATGATTCCTTTCATGACGTTATGACTCTTGGTGACTCACTCAATTCTGAATTAACAGCTTTTAAGGACTTTTTTAATATTTGTCATATTAACGCCCAAAGCATCCCGTGTCATCACCACGAATTGTTTGAGACATTTTCCCCTAATTATGTTCATGCGGTTCTTGTTTCTGAGAGCTGGTTGAAGCCCTGCCTGAACTCAACTTCATATGATATTCCTGGGTTTACGCTTATTAGGAACGATAGAATTGGCAAAGGTGGAGGTGGTGTTGCTATCTACCTTCGAGCAAATATCTCTCACAAGATTGTCAGTGTTTCACCCTCTCTTTTTTCTGGTACTTCGGAATATATTTTTCTTGAAATCACTGTCAGTCGAGAAAAGGTTCTTTTAGGCGTGGTCTATTGCCCACCGTCTTTAGACTGCCATGATTCTTTGGAAGCTGCTCTGACACCACTTAGCACTGATTACTCCCATCACATCATCATGGGTGATTTTAACACCGACCTCGTTAAAAATTCCGTCTCCGCCGTTAAACTTCAAAATCTTTTCAAATCTCTCAGCTTTTCTGTGCTCCCTCTTAATCCCACTCATCATAATGCTCAATCTTCAGACACATGGCTTGACCTGATTGTCACTTACTCTGCGAATAACTTCACAAAGTTTGGTCAGTTCTCTGCTCCTGGTTTCTCTCACCATGATCTCATACTTGCTTCATATAAACTGAATATGACCAAACCGAAGCCAAAGGTACTGCTCATGCGCAATTTTGCCAAACTCAACACTGATGCTCTAAGATCTGATGCTGCTGACATAGATTGGTCACCAGTTTTGAATTCCAATTCTATTGATGTTAAAGTTAACTCATTTAATTCTCAGATTCTTGAGCTTTATAATATCCATGCCCCCCCTTGCGTCGTGTAAAGCTGAAACGTCCCCCTGCTCCTTGGATATCCAAGGGAGTTCGTATCGCCATGACTAGGCGTGATCGGGCCTTCCGCAAGTTTAAAAAGGAAAGATCGGAAGATAACTGATTTAAATCTGCCAGAAATTTGTGCAACCGGATGGTGAGATCTGCAAAGCGTCGCTACTTTTTCGACAGCCTGGCTAACTCCACATCAGCCGGGGCCTGGAAATTATTAAAAAGTGTTGGTCTCGGAAAGTCCCAGGCCTCTGCTGGTTTTTCTTCTTGCTCTTTTTCACTTAACGAACTTAACTCTCATTTCTCTTCAATTTCACCTCTAGACTGTATCACCAAATCCAACACGATTTCTGAATTAAAATCTATTACATCTCGTGATCTCGAGCCCTTCTCCTTCTCCTTAGTGTCAACTGACCATGTTAAAGAAATTTTTCGTTCCCTAAGTTCTAACGCTCTCGGCTGCGACGGCAACAGTCGCACTATGCTTCTAAATATTCAGGATTACATAATCCCAATTTTAACACATATTATAAATTTGTTCCTTCGAGAATGGTTCGTTCCCTTCCTTGTGGAGAAAAGCCTTTATAATTCCTCTCCCAAAAACTAATAACCCTAAGGTATTGAGCCACTTTAGACCCGTTTCTATTTTGCCGTTCCTCTCTAAAGTCCTGGAAGCAGTGGCACAAAAACAGCTTTCTAAATTTATTCTAGACAACTCATTACTCTCTCAATACCAATCTGGTTTTCGCCCAGGACACAGTACGTCTACTGCTCATCTTAAAGTCACTGAGGATGTCAGAGATGGTATGGAGCTTGGCAAGTTGACAGTGCTCGTGCTGATTGATTTTACCAATGCTTTTAACACTGTCGACCATGATATTCTCCTTGCCTTTCTGGCACACCTTAGTGTATTTCCATCCACCTTAAAATGGTTTTCCTCATACCTGCACGACCGCCATCAAGCGGTTCGTGTTGACAAATCGCAGTCCGATTGGTGCAGCTTAGCGGCTGGCGTTCCTCAGGACGGTATCCTATCGCCACTTCTTTTTTCCGTTTTTATCAATTTCATATCCACTTTTCTTCGCTGTTCGTTTCATTTGTACGCCGACGACTTGCAGTTATACCGCCGTTGCAGTTCTGATAAGATTGACTCTACTATATCTCTCCTCAATGAGGATCTTGATATGCTCTGCAAGTGGTCTGAGCGCTTTGGTGTTGTCGTCAACCCGACTAAGTGCCAGGCTATTATTATTGGTGGATCTCGCCAAATATGTAAGGTTGATATTGGCGCTGTAAGTCCAATTGTCTATAATGGCATGCAAATTCCTTTTTCTACAAGTGTTAAGAATCTTGGTTTGTACATTGACAGTACCTTTGGCTGGTCCACTCACATTAACGAGACATGTCGGCGGGTCACAAATATGCTCCGTGCCCTATATAGATATAAAAATTTTCTCCCTGTTCACACAAAAATCTCTTTAATTCAGGCTCTTGTCCTACCATCCATAGATTATGCTGATGTGTGTTATCCTGACCTAAATAAAGATCTTCTTGGTAAATTGGAGCGGTCTCTTAACAGCTGTATTTGATTCATATTCAGTCTACGGAAATATGATCATATTACTTCATTTCGCCTTGAACTCAATTGGCCGCCTCTTTCAGACCGTCGTGATTTAAGAATTCTCACATCTCTGTTCTCAATTCTTTTTGACCCTAATGCTCCGTCTTACCTGAAGTCCAAATTTCAGTTTTTAAGTTCCACACACTCTCGTCCTCTTCGTTCATCTGAAATATTCTTTTGTCCATCCCCTCCCACTGCTCCAACTTCGTATCAAACTCATTTTGTCTCCAAGCTATTCGTCTCTGGAACGATCTTCCGGAGAGTGTGAGAAAAGCACCCAGTAAACCTGCTTTCAAGGTCCTCGTACGTCGGCATTTCGCTAAGAAGTCATAACAATTTCAATTTCTAAGTATATTATCACGGAGGAAAAACAAAGAGGAGGTGTGGTGATTAAATTTCCTCAAGAAACGACGCGTGATAATTTGCGGGATGCGGGGTGTTCAGCTCCGCCCACTTCTCAATATTTCATCTATCGGCTAATAGCAAAACTAGCTTAGGTTGATATTTATGTTACTACGTAGTAGTTCAGCTATCTAACACTAGATGTCAAAAGTTTTGTTTATAATGGGACGTACTCAGAACTTGAAGCTTCAAAAAAATTAAATATGTAGTTAAATAAATAAAATAAACGTTGACAAATTTGACCGATTTTAAAAATTTTAAGGTATAAATTTTATTATTTTAAAACATGTAACTGCTTGATGAAAAAAAATCCAGGCAGACCAGGCAGCAGACGGGACTCGAACCCGCACCCGCTCCCGTCTGCTGCCTGGTCCGCGTGGATATTTTTCTAGTTATATTTTCTTTAGATTTAAATTTTAAGGTAGTTTAAAAATAATAGACAAATTGTTATTACAAACATAATTTTATTAAAAAACATCAATTACCTGTAAATAATAGTTTTGGTTAGTTGTTGTCGGTTGGTTGCCCTATCGTTTTGTATTGTGGCAAAATGCTTAAACCGAATATCAATATATTTTTCTGCAATCGATTTCATCAGAAATACAACATGATTAACTGTAGGTGATTGGTCAAACATATGGTTGGCCGATTTTTTGAAACAATCTTGTCTAATAAGTGACTGTATTCGGTACAATTTTATGTTTACGAAAGTTAGGAGTATTCAAAGATTGCGATTTAACACAACGAATACTGTCTTCGGTCCGTATACATATTATTATGACATCTCTAGATGGGAAAGTAAGACCACCCTTATTATTAGATTTTATCAAATCAAGGTCACTATCGTCGTAGTTATCAGCATATAATTCTTTGAGACAGCTCTCACATTTGATCTTGGAATGTAAATATTTGACCACATACCCAGAAATATATGCTACTATTTGACGGCGCAAATAGTCACCTATAGTTGTATTTAATTGTTCATCAAATTCCAATAACATATCGTCAGGCATAGGCTCGACATCCGTGCTATCCGAAGACTCGAAACTCATTTTATTTAAAATGCGATAACGTTCTGATGTAATATTAATTTTTTGCACAGAAGATTCATTTAAAATGGAAATATCTTCTTCTTCTATGGTGTCCAATCCGGTCTATTAAGTTTTGAAATCCATTGCTGTTTTAAATTATCGTTGGATGGAAATCTAAAACGAACATAAAAATAATTAAAATTTATTTACTTGGTAAAATAATTTAATACGTATTACGGCCCTGGATATTTGTAACGTTTAAAAAGTTATTCTATATGACGACAGATGGCGGCCAGTTAGTTATATATTGATAAAATTACTGTTTTAGATAATAAAAGTTATTTAGGAATAAGTGTATAACAGTTTTCAGTATTTACGTTTGATTATTACAATATACTACTGCAAAATTATACGTAAACTTGTGTATTTTCTTCCTAAAAGTGTCGCCATCTGGTGTCAAGTAGTAGAATTTTAACGCTGATAGCTGAGGCTGAGAATGTTCTAGAACTTATATATTTAATTACGTATAAAATTACTTACAAATGAAATGTGATGCCATCCATATTATCAGAACGTCTGTCTGAGTAACTTTGACATAGTAAAACACAAAACTTCATCCTTTTCTTGTTAAAAACGCAAAAAAACACTTATAATGCGAGTCTCGTTAAGTGTGCACCTGACGAACGCTGAAAGCATACTGACTTAGGCCCCGCCCACAATGATGACGTCAGGACCTAGTTGAAAATCACAGTGCACAGTTGCTTAGGCCAGCTCCTCTTTGTTTTTCCTCCGTGTATATTATGATCAAACTCTGGTCAATCCGCCTAATATTAATATTTTTTTTATTATTATTTGTATTTTGTTTTATTATAGTTTTCTTAAGTAAGTATAGAGGTATTTATTATAGGGATGATGACGGGGTACAGTAAACGAAATTCTATTTAGTCCGTCGATTAGATGATCAAAAAATAATGGACACGTATTATTTTTTTGATTATTAACTCCACATCATCCCTATTGTATATATTTAGGTATTTATCGTATATATAAATATGTATGTATATATATGTAGTTATGTAAGTATATTTATAGATGTTCTGTATTATAATTTTATATTAAGTATCATGTAGTTTTATCATTTTTTTTTCCTTTCACCTTTTGCTTTTATTTACTTTACCGCATAATTGTCTCTGCTTAGCCCGATGGTTGACTGGTAGAGAATGCCATGTGGCATTAAGTCCGCCATTTGTTGTAAATAACAATAAAGAGTAAATAAATAAAAATAAATCTCTTTCTCTGTGATCACTCTCACCCATCTTACTAGCACCATAGGGTGGGGCAAAATAACTTTGTTTTTTCATTTGAATAGTATTCTCATTTAATGTATTACCAAAAGTTCCTAATGAGACCAAATATTAGAATAATATTAATGTGCATGTGCGGCCACCAAAGCAAATACAAAGTCAAAAGCGAATAAAAACTTGCGTCAGTACGCTACAATGCGTTGTGTTGTGTATACGTCCATACGCTGACGTATTCACAAAACTTGCAAACCTGTGCCGCCCTGTTCAAACACTGTAAAAATGTTCACAAAGACAAAACAAAGTCTTTTGACTTCGTATTTGCTTTGGTGGCCGCACTTGTGTTTCGTGTTCTGTGCGTGACACCTGCCTTTTGTTCTGTAATCTGAGAAGCTGATGATTATGTCTAAATCTCCCATTCGCATTGGCGCAGCTGGTATCGAAGAGCTGGACGAATTCAATGAAGCGCCTCACGTGGTGCACAGCGACACACTAGCGCTCACCGCGGCGGAGAGCGTCAACGCCGATGACGAAGACGTCATATTCACGCGACCGACGCACAAGAACGGCCTCGCGTTCTCATAGCAATGCCAAACTCACAAGTGAGTAGAATCACAGTGTTAAATGTACCTACCAGTTTTTATCTCAAAATGTTCCATGTGGTATCTTTAAAACTCTTAAGTGAATTAATATGAGATTTTTTTCTCGAACAACCGAACGCTAGGGGTGAAGTGTTTCCGGTGAGAACAACGATTTCATTATACAGCTGGCGTACTTAAATATGTTTAAAGTTCCTTTATGTTTGTTTAAGTTTTGAAATAAAATCGATTCCACTAATACTGATAAATTAATTCGGGTAAAGTGACTTATGTTTGCTCAACCCCCAATTTATTGGCATTCTAAAGTTACTGTCGAAACAAAACAATGTTAGGCTCACTCGCACCAAATTCGCCGAACCTCAATTTAATTAAAACACGATTTTGTAACCCATACAAAAATGTCAAAACGTCAATGTCAATTAGACACTTGTATGGACTAAATCTAGTTTAAGTTAAATCGAGATTTAGGAAAATTTCTAAAAGTGGACCTTAATGAATAAACTGTTTGCTCATAATTTTGGTTTATTATCTTAAAAAAAAATATCTTATATTTATATTATAAAGAGGAAAAGTAAACGAATTGTTAATTTTCTAAGGTCGTTGGGGTAATCTCTGATCTACTGAACAGATTTTGAAAATTCTTTTACTAAAAGAAATCCAATAGAAAAAAAAACTTGTGGTAGTTGGATGTGCAAAGTAAGTTGGAGAAAAAGTGGTCGGACGAAAACTTTTTTTAGGAACGCTGCCGTTGAGAGATATAATATGATTTCTAGAGAAAAGTTGTAGAGCTTGACAATGCCTACAAAAAGTCAGCGACAGCATATTATGTCTAACTTTTATATTTAAGGGCACATAAAGTAGTTTTTTTATATCAAACAAATAATTTAAATCGTTAGGAAAATCGTCTCAAATATTTAAAACAAAATACTAATATTACTGCACATAATTCGGATGAGTGGATAAAGAGCTAATACTACACATCTACACCGAAGTGAAGCGAGGGCGGGCCACTAGTTGTTTATACATAAAAAAATATAATACAGGAGCTTTTTGTTTCTTAAGTGTTGCTTAAAGTGCCAATAAATTGGGTTCGTTATCCTTTTATCTAGATATTTTTTAACACTTACATTTGAGATGATTCTGTAAATTTAAAACTAAATTTAACATCAGGATCTCCTTTTCATTCTGTATAGAGCACGAGACAGTTAAACTCTTGTCAAATTAAGTTTAGGTTTAGATAATCATGCCAAAATCGACACCATTGTGTTATTGGTAGCTTAAATACAATTATACATTTTAAGAAAAAGAAATCTGTCGTTTTGAAGTTATCACTAGGAGAATGTTTAGTAAAATAAATTATTTGTATTAGTTCAGTAGGTACTCAGAAAAACTACGCACCTTATTTAGCGAATGCTTTAATTGCACTAATAGTGCAATTAAAAGAAAATTCAATTTGAAGTACACAAAAGTTTATATAAAAGGAACGTGAACAATTACAGAATGTGCCAATGAGGAAATCCTTAAATGTACTTATGAAAAAGAGAAAACTAGTTTAATACAATGCGGAGTATCTATGAAATATATAATTATGTATAACAAAGAATTTATTATAAATAAGGTATGGTCGTGAAGTCAATGCTGTATTATATCGAATAGTAATTACAATTAATTAATATTAAATAGAATAATATCTGTTCTCTAATGATATAGGTATAATAGGTAAGGTATATAGTTTTCTGTAGATTTAACACGCCAAGATTGTGTTTTTTATTTTGTATTTTTTTATAAATGTTATATTCTTAACTAGCTTATTTAGTAAATATTCTTAGTATTTTATATTTATTTTAAATTATCATTAAATTATTTTAAAACTTGAGAAAAAGCGTAAATATGTATACATGAATCGATTACGCTTACAATATACTTACATTGGTTTAATTTGTTTGAATGGCAAAGAGAACTAGGTAAGTAGTTTCATTATCATCCGAGTACTAAACCTAATTAATCCTATAAAGATAAATATAGAAAATTTTAAATTCCAAACTTGACATGAAATATGGACAATGATTTAACTATACAATCTCACTATTTTTTTTCTAGAGTTATAAAATGTGTTCGAATTTTTGAAGTTTTGTGATTGATAGTTTATAAACTGGTAGCAGAATTTAGATTAATATATATGATGTAGTATTTACGTATGATGTTATTATATTCGTTAATTTATAACTGTAGTTTATACTCGTATATTGAACATATGTAGCTCTTCCGAACCAATCTGATTTATTCTGTGCACAAATGAAATAACTTACATATTATAAATTTAGACTGAATCTAATGCATTACTACCTAATCTGCGATATTGAGGTTTTATGTAATTAGGCTTACAATATTAATGCAATTATGCACAAAATCTAAATGGTAGCAGAACATAAGTCTAAAATAATTCTATGCAAATATATTAAAGTAAAACATTAAATATCTGTAAACCCAACAGTTTCAGCTCTGCGTTGATCAATCAGTGTGGCAGATCTGCCTTTAAGCTAGTTAGTAGAGTGGAATTTAAACTTGATTGTGGCTGTGAAGTTAGCGCAAGTCGCGGTGCTGTAAACGAAATGTGATGTTATGAAGGTGCGTGCGAATATCATTGAACTGAAACCTGCGCATAGTTGCGCTCGCTGCTAACTTCACAACGGTCTACTTTATAAATTTGGATCCCAGTACACTCGGTACATTTAGCGTCAAGTTGGTGTCAAAGTAAGTATTTACGTGTAAGAGGGCAGGCTGTTTGTGTTTGTAAACCATTACATTACATTGACTTCTCGTCTCGTACTACGTAACTAGCAAAATATTATGAAATGTATGTAGTATACATACATCATTATTTACTAGTTACGAGGTAACTACGACAATTAAAAAAGATACATAAAATAGACCCCAAAGCACGAGTCCGTCTCGAGCATTGAGGGTTTCGTACAAACACGGACATGTGTAAGAGGTCGTCCTTAAATAAACACAAGTTAGATTTATTTTATAAAAAACACTATTATTACCTATAATACTCTGCTGCTATTCTATACAGAACTACACTGAGCACACAACTACACTACTACACCTTTCTAAATAAAGCTCTTTTCAGTTTCTTTATTTAACTTAAAACCCAAAATAAATTCTTATTCAGTGTAGGCTCAACCACAAATAAAATATTAAACATTGTCTATAATTTTACCTGCAGTGTGATTGAACGGTGATAAACCAGTCTATGTATCTCTTTTGTTGATCTACGTACATTTATTGAGCTTTGTATAATCTTTTATCGTACCTTTTTATTATTCAACTAAGGCTTTACTATTAAATAATAAGAAATCACTATTAGGTCATCAATCATAGTATAGATAGGTAAGTACTATTTATACACATACATACATACATATATGGCGAACACTATTCCAAGGTTACTAGACCAGGGTCGATAATTTTTGAGACCAAAAAAAATTATAGTAGGATGAAACCCATTAGAAAAGGTAGAGAATATAACAAAAATGAAAGGAAAAATAAATTACGGGCGATCTGAGGTCGGGAAGGGGGAGGGGGTGAGTTTTTAAGGGTAAAAAATGGTTAATCTCGATTTCCGGTAAAACTGCAAGTTCTATGAAAAAAAGTTAAATGGCAAAGTTGTAGGTAATAAAAAGATTTACAACTTTTGTATCGACACTTTTTTCACATAACCTCAAAATTTATGTGAAAAATGCGAATAACCGAGGTTTTGGTTTTTGATTTTTATTTCTTGCAAAAAAATAGTTATTTATTATACAAGAGTGGAAAGTTCCTTTTTAACCGCGTGCTCGATTTGGATGACCGAGCAAGCGAAGGAAACAAACGAGCACAAGGTGAAAAATCTTTCCACTCGAGTGCAATACGTAACTTTTCATCCCACCTCAGCGAGGAAATGACAAAATGAAAAAGAAAACAATTTATAATGACAAAATATTTAAGCAATAAAACGTGAAAAACTAGAATGGCGCGAAGCACGCAAATAAAACAAAGAAACCAAGAAGGTTCCAAATTTAAATTTTTTCACAATTTAAAAAGTTCTAATCATAAATTTGGCACCATAGAGGTTACATTAAATAGGTTTAATGACGTTTTGAATTTACAATTATATTGAGTACTCATTATATGTGATGTTCTAAATTCAAATCTACTTTGCCGCTCAAGCGAATAAAATAGAATTTTCCAGCCAGATTTCGAAGCGCAAAATTACACTTTCCGAGGTGGTGGGATGAAAAATATTTTTTCACGAAATTTGGTGAAAACTTACCTTTGTATATCCTAAACATACAGTAATTTTTTTGATTTAAAATATTCATTTTTTCACCTTATTTTGACTTAATATCGAAAAAGCACTCTTATTTTCAATCGAAAATTCTCACGTCAAAATATCTGCTTTTTTAAAAAAGTTGGGGTGTTTTTTGTTTGTTGAAATCTCTACTTTCTGATGGTATAAAAAAAAATATACACTACTATGGTAAATGTTCTCAGAAACTGCAAATTAATAATGAAAAAAACTCCAATCCGAAAAATTGATTTGAATCATTATGTATAATTTTGAACTATTTATTAAAATTTACACTTTAATTACTCGAAAAACGTAAGATTTCATGTTATATTGATTAACAGAAAAATTACAAATCCATAAAACATGCAAAAATAGTTGTTGTAAGTAGGTATTAAAAATAGGATTTTCGGATTCGAGTTTTTTTCATTATTAATTTGCATTTTCTGAGAACATTGATCGTAGTAGTGTATATTTTTTTTATACCATCAGAAAGTAGAGATTTCAACAAACAAAAAATACCCCAACTTTTTTAAAAAAGCAGATATTTTGACGTGAGAATTTTCGATTAAAAATTAGGGTGCTTTTTGGATATTAAGTCAAAATAAGGTGAAAAAATGAATATTTTAAATCAAAAAAATTACTGTATGTTTGGGACATACAAAGGTAA